GTACTGAATACGGATCACACACGCTGGTTCAAGAGGATGGTCGTGTTAACAAGGTTTCATTTCGTTGGTCACCAAGGACCTATATTTTAAACTAAAGTTCTCCCATGCAATCGGAACGATCTTGACAATCTAAAGCAGCAACAATCTGAAACAACTGTCGACCGGAACAATCTTATAACACTAACGTCCTCTATAAACAGTTTGAATAACCAAAGGTCACCAAACAACTCAAAAAACCTGTCCTTACATTGTGGGTCTCTCAACTTTTACAGTTTATCTCGTATTTAAGTATTTTCCTAGGCTGCGAAGACAGACGGATGTCCGGCTATTTCCGGCTGTGTTCGCAAGCTGATATTTTCCCAAAAATTACCTAAATTAGAAGATAATTTTACAATAGAAATAAGCGCATGTAATTCAAGTCTAATTCAGTGCTAGTGAACTTTGGTAGTTTATTTACAAAGTTGCGAAATTCTACCTACTCGAGTCCAGTCGAGTATTTCGTGACATCGCGTTACGCTTTTCAAATATTAATAATTAATCATACAAGTAATTCTTTCCCACAAAACAGGTGGCTGATCAATGGACGCCAGCAATCAAGCAAAGCAAGATTCGCTTGTCGCATACCTTACTCAGTCGATCTTTCCATTAGCACCTGGTGTTATTTTGCTGCTGTATATCTACTGGCAAGGCACACGAAATCGAGCCATTCTCAAGAAAATTAACGCTCCTGGTCCAAAACCATGGCCATTCATTGGCAATACCCTCGACGCCAGAAAATTCAACGGTGTTCATCTCCTTTTGTGCGACTATATTCAGAGGTACGGCAAGGTCTTCGCTTTCACCTTGGGAGACAGACCCTCTGTTGTTATCGCAGATCCTGACATGCTCAAGCAGATCCTCGTGAAAGATTTCTGGAATTTCCCAAACCATGCCGTCCGAGTTAAGCTCCCTGGCGCGTTCGGTAAGAGTGTTTTCTTTGCGCGAGATGACGCATGGAAGAGAATTCGTACCACGCTCACTCCGACTTTCAGCGCGAAGAAAATGAAAGGAATGGTGGCCCTGATCGAGGAGTCATGTGACAGGTTGATGGCGAAGATCGAACAAGTTGCAGATACCGGTTGGTGACAAATTTTCTGTTTTAAAATGACTGAAGATACCAAAATAACTGAAACATGCATTGAAAGCAACTGTTGTGTTGAATTTTAATTAAAGCCGTTCAGTTCACATCGGCGTGCGCGTGCGTTTGACATTTCGAGCACAAAGAGCTATACTGTTTGCAGAATTTGTTTGAATCTGTGTTGAATGTTAACATGCACTTTTATGTTGTTTTACGGTGTAACAAAGCGCTTGAAAAGTTGCAAAGATTAGAGC